ACAGACATGAGAGTGGTATCAACCTTCTCATCTAACTCTTAGCAAGAAATTGGTTATGTGTATTTCCCAAAATGTTGAACAAGTCCATTAAATTTAATTGCAAACTGCCAAGTAAAACAAAAAAATGTGGTGTATAACGCGGCCTTAAAGCTGCAGGTGCAGATAATTTTCTTGGAGATTCACTTTCATCATTCATGTTTCACTTTGGGGATGTTTAAGGTTCACTGATGGTCTGTTGGTTGTTACTCTATCTCAGAATTTAATGTAATGCATGTTGATACTGTAGTTCTCACTTGTTAGGGAGTCATCGTGGTGACAGTTCACATGTTGTTTTGCTGCAAAGAGATTTGACACCCGTTTGGTAACTACCAAAGGAGGTTGTCTCTTTTGATGTGCAACGGGAATAACACTTCCTGTCCTGAAAGAGCTCTCTTTCAGTCACTTTTTAGTTTCTTCTTCATTTCCACTTCATAAAGTGAACTCTGCATCTTTTGTTGTATTTGATAAATGTCACCATTGGGATTATGAAGCTTCCTACCTTCACTTTTAAACTGAACATTACACTAAATGTTTAGTTTTGCCAATCAGCCCTTTATTTTTTTTATCCTAATTTGATATGGTTTTCTATTTTTTAATGATTGTTAATTATGTAATGAATATATAAATGTATGGAGCTGGATTTTGTTAAAGCTTTATTGTCCAGAGTTTTTCTCTGTTGCACAGAACAAATACTGCTAGAAACAAAGTTTCAAAAGTACATTGTTTACTATGTCATGGTTGATCCAAACTATATCTTTTTAATAATTGTTTACAATTTGTGGCTTTATTTGCAATGCAAGTAATCTATCTCTGCCTTTTGGCTCAGCAATAAAAGTTTACAGATAAGGAAAACTGTTTTGATATTTCAGACTAATTGTCTCCTTGGCTGCTTTTTCACTAATGTGTATTTTTTTGCATTTCTTAAATAAAGTGGATTATAAATTTCATTAAAAATCCAGCTTTCTTGTGCTTTGGTTTCATACATGATCAGTCACTGAAATGAAAATGTTATGAATCAGCGAGGTGTGCCTTAAATAAGCAATATCAACATCACCTATAAGCCTGCTGCTGTTCCTTCCCTTAAAACAAATATCAAATATCAGTTTATCCGCTGTTCAAATATTATCAATAAAGATATGCAAGGGTGCACACCTTAATATAAAGCCCTCATTAGAGCATACTCGCACACATCAGCTTCCCACTGACCAGGTCACATCTCAGGATGGTATGTATTGTACACCTTAAAATTAGCTATGAACGCACCAGCATGTATATTATACGCTTTGGTGTGATATCGGATTGAACATACAGAACTTAGCACAAAAGAAACTTGTCTTTTTGTCGAGAAATAGGTGGAATTGTGGTTGAACTTCTCTTTTTTACAGAAATGCAATATACATTTAGATTTGGGTGGATAAATACGAAGAGAAAAAAACTACCAAAAATTTGAGTGCATACTTTAGATTTAAAGTTACCTTCAAATTTCAAGATTCAATTAAGGTCAACTGCATTATTTCTTATATGTATATATATGTAATTAAAATTAATATTATATAAAGTAGTTGGTGGTGGTCGTAATAGATAAATCTGCATGTAAAACCAAAAACCTAGAAGTAGTAGTAAATGATGTCCATGGTGATTGATAATGATTCATATATGACACAAATGTAAATACAGATAAGATGCAAATCATTTAAAGAGCTGTTTTAGAAAAGACTAGAAATATATCTCACTATCACATACAGTACATTGCAGATAAAATGTCTTTTGCTTTGAAATGTATAGTTGTATAGTAGAATAATGACAAATCACCTCAACATATATAGCTTTAATGCAATGATATTTAAAATCTTTAACTAAATGGGACTGGCTGTTGTTTGTGTGACCCTTATGGGACAAAAATATCTTGAATAAAAGTGCATAAATACACTGCAGAGACTATAAAACATGCACCATGTTTACGGACGTCTGTTATTTACTCTTCCAGGCTTCCCTCCATGTGTTTATTTGTCTGCTGGGTCTGGTTGTCCTGTGTCACTCTGACTGCTTCTTCCAGGAATTAGTGCTGAAAGATTTGAAAAACCCTCCAAAAGGTGAGACAGTACGATTATAACAGCAGTGTTGCAGCAGATCGGGTTGAGTGGAAAATTTTCTCTGCCATGTTTGACAGAAGTTGGACAAATTAGCATAAAGCCCTTCTTCTTCCGTCCGAGTGTTCCAGCTGAATGCCTCATACAGTTGGTGTGTGTTTACTTAACACCTGCCAGCTGACTCGAAACGTATCAAAACCACACCTATGCACACATCGATACACACTCACACACAATTAGTCGCTGCCGAAGACTTATCAGAGCTTGATGAGAGGGTCAACAGCTCCTCTGAACTGTGGTTTGATTTCTTTACATTTAGGGTGTGTGGATTTGGATGGAAAGCAGCATGCTTTTGGCTCTGAGTGGGTGAGAGACTGCATGGACTGCTCCTGTACCAGTGAGGGCTTGAGCTGCTGTAGCACGTAAGATTTTCATGATTTGTTTTTATTGCATTACACCTCTTATTTTAAAATAAATGACTGTACAAAAATCATCTAACAGTGCAGTGGCTGATTGTACCCCCCTCGCCTCACCCTCTTATTCCAAGTGTGTAGGAGAAACTACGGTGGCTAAGAAACTCACTAACAAGGCCGTGGCATGAAGCCAGTTTTTGCTTTGTCTGTTCTTGTAGAAACATTGCTCCCTCTATTCTGAGTTATTATAGTTTTGTATTTTTCATAAATTTTTATTTATAGTTTTTAATTTTTGTTTTCAATTCTGTTTAGTTTCAGTGGGTTTGCTTGTCAGTATTTATGGTTTTAGTTCAGTTTTTGTTAGTTTCAGTATTAGTTTTAGTTTTTTAAAATTATAATATAGTTGGCATTTGTCAGGGGCCAAATTTAAGAAGTTCAGAATAGATATTACAATACAAACACATTGACTCCCAGTCTCAATAAACATAAGTACCAATGCCTCCTTCATGCTTGTTGTGTTGACAAATTTGACCAAACTGACAAAGACTAAAACTGAAGACATTTCCTGTAAAGTTTTATTTTATATTAGTAGGTTAGTTAGTTTAGTTTTAGGTAACTATAATAACTATAGTAATAATGAAAACATACGTATGAATATTATATTTCATGTTAATTGTTACACATTCAACCTTTAAAAGCTATATTTTCTTTGGACCCTTCCAGTGACCTAGAAAAAAACCTGCCCCCCAATATCTTAAATTAATATTAATATGAGACCAGATGTCCATCAAACGTCATAATTAAACCAACACCTGACACACACGAGCAGGTGTATTTTGAAGCAGCAGCTAGAGAGATTGGACTGTTTACTGCAGACAGCTGAGCACCATACAGTCAAATAACCAAACATAATTTTATTACTGTGGGAAAATAGTTAAATGCTTTTGCATGATAAAGGCAGACAGCTGTGTGTGGCGGGTTTTCTCACGCTACTTAAGTTTTGGTTTTTATGCACAGCTGAATTTGTTTGAAGCACAAACTGAGTGTATAAACACACGTTTAACTTTGGAAGAACAGACTATAATGTGTAATGATGGGTGGTCAAGGACGAGTTTCACAAAGATAGACTTACACCATGGCTTGGATCTACCTAATAGTCAAACTTTAGTGAGTAATTCTTAATCATCTTAATTTATTTGCTATAAATTCTGGATAAATTATACTTATTTCAAAGAAAAAAAACATGTCTAACTAGTCAACAAATAACGAGTTATTTGCTGTCTGGATTCATCAGTTACAAAAATGTTTAAAGGGAAAGGTTCAGTTGGTGAGTGTAAAAATACAACAAAAACAAAAATCTGTTATCCTAAAATCTCAGTCCAGTGTATATACTGTCACTGGTGCAGAGCTGTAGCAGAGTTGTTGTTTCTTCATGTGACAGAGCTCAGTACTTCTGCTGAGTCGTCAGTCCAACTCTTGATCCTCACTGGTGCCACTTGTCAGGAGGTGTCATTGATTGTTACCATGGAAACGTGGCTCTTTGTCCTGAGTAAGCCCGAAAGTCGGGCGGCAAACTTTTTAGGCTTAAAATAACTCTGTCTTTACTTTTGTGAAAGCTGTCTAACTAACTCAAATTGGCTGACCTTAAAACTACAGGCCAGTCTAAAATAACTGGCCATGGATTAAAGAGCACGTGTTCACTAATGAACTGATTAACTGTAATTGTAACCTCCAGACCTATTACCTACGAGTTGGTTGTGGTGGGGGAAATAAAGCTCTGCAAATGGCGAAGCGCACCTTCACAATCCATCTTTTGCAAGGGAAATTGGAAATAAAACATCCATTTGATATATTTGATTAATAAAACACTCTTGTCGTCTCTCCCACAAAATAAAGACTACCTTCCTCTTAGCCAAGAGAAATATTTCAACACCCTCCCCGTTTTCTGACCCTCCTCCGATCCCTAATAATGTTTGTACAGTCTCTAATTTGTATCAAACCATTCCAAGAGGACCATTTGTGGATTTTTCTTTTCATCTGAGGGTCATACTCTTTCTTTTTGTCTCTCAGATTGCCTGATGCAAACACAGTAGACTTGCCTGAGGAGTGTGAGCTGGTCGTAAATAAGGAGGCCTGCTCTGCCAAGGTGGTGATGAAGTCAGACAACACAAAAGAGTGTAACCCTATCTGAACAGACTACCAGTGACTTCTACACATCAGGGACAACTGAAATCCAAACTGGCAATAGGTCTTTTTTATGTTTCATATTATGGTGTGTGAAAACAGTAAATTACCAATAAACAAAGACTAATCAAACCTTGCTAGTCACCTTACTTATCATGTTTTAAATTTCACTCACAATAAACATTTAAATTCTGCTGCAACTGTGCGTCTGTTTCTTCTTGCCTCTCCTGCTCTTCATCTCTGTAACAGCACTCAAAAGCAGGTGTCATTTTCAGCATGTAATTGAATAAATCCACCACTGTGTGACAGCAGAGCTCACTGCTCAGAGGGTCTCTGGCACCTAAAGGGCTCCAGCAGTCCAATAATATGGGGGCTGTCTCTGACAGAAACGTTTTGGTTGTTGTGATGTTCAGCTCCTTCTCCAACTCTCATCTCTGTGGATTCGCACCTGTTCAGAGCGTCGTTTTCTCTGTCACTCGGCATCACAGAGACACTCAACCCACCATGTGAGTGCTTTATTTTTTTACACCCAATAATGATCTGTTATGCACAGAAATATCTTTGTCAAGGAAAAGCTGTGTCTTTTTTTAGTTAATCAGTTCTAAAAATGTGTGTGCTGTGTTATTTGTCAGCTTGCAGTTTCACAGATTTTCAGGTGTACTGTATGTCTCTATCATTACACCGTTTTTTTAATGAAGCATTCAAACAATAGCAGTCTACAAAAGGCATTTCTGAAAATATGCATCCAATTCTAGCATGGAAACTGGAAAAAATGTGTAGCCGATTGGCCTTAATGGTTCACATACTGTTTGGAACCCATCATATGAAGGTATTTGTAGTGGTAATGTCTTGGGAGGCATCACCTACAATCCTTGACACCCCCAGCAGAGAATAATGAGGCTTGGATCATCATCTCAGGTAGAGCACACTACAGTGCCCACCGCCTGTTATCCTGCTTCTCCACACGCAGGAGGCAGACAGAAGGAAAATTGCTTCTGAATAGTACCACTGACTGAGCATGCACTGTATATCAAAATACTGTTTTGATTTCATTTGTTTTTCTGTCTGCAAAATGAATTCAAAATTATGGATTCCAGTAAGTGAGATCATTTTCATATGTGGACTGTTACACCAGTCCACATATGAAAATGATCTCACTGGTAGCTTGAATAAAAAAAGGAGCAAAAAGCACTATTAATACAGTAAACATCTTTTAAGATGTACATTTTATATGACTAGATGTGAATCAGTGACTGCACAGAGGGGAATTTGGGGGCTGGGCTTCTTTCTTATATTATTCTTTGTTTCTTTTTCAAGCACATACAGCATATATAGAGTATTACTGTACTAATACATGCTAAAAAGTTAAAATCCACACGTCTCACCCTCCAGGATTGCTCATACCTACAGACCTTTCAATTCTAGTTTAACTTGTGTAGTGTCCAAATATAAAAAAGTGTTTTACAATGAATAACAAGGAAGGGTTTCACACAAGGTATGCAATGCAATGGTGCAAACACCATCTTAATATGGCACGGTATTGCTTCAGAGAATCTTTGGCAGATAAGAAATGTGTGAAATTGTCATGCAGTGTGACCACATGTTTTATCTGAGGCTACTACAGGAGACATTTGACACTGATGACAATGTAGGTAACCAATTGTTTGACAACTGCTTTGAAAAAAGAAAAAAAAAGAGAGACCCCAATCTGGTCCAAGAAAAAAATGACATTCAGCCATTCTCTCATCTTCCCTGTCAGAGAACAGTATTTTCACAGAGATGGAGGACACTTCACTGAGGCAGAAAAAGAAAAATATGATGGACAGAGCGGTGCCAGGTCACAGTGTTCCTTATCTTGCAGAGATTTTTTGTTTTGGAGGGGGCTGATCACAAGCTGGATGTGCATACCACAGTGTCACACCATTGTAACATGACAGGTCCAGATTTGTCTGTTAATGAGACATTTTTCCTTTTTTTCTCTCTCCTGCTGGTGTTTACGGCTCCTCCGCTCTATTACAGCTGTTTGTTACATCTGGTTACTGGTGACAGTACACTTGCCTTTCCTCCCTGAACAAAGGATGATCAATGCTGTGCCACCCTGCCTGCAGCTCACTCAACACGCTGACAGAGTAGGTTAGTAATGATGCAGTGTGAAGTGACTGATAGCTCAGTGTGTGTCGTTAATGGAAAATGACAGGCTCATTTTCTTTTGCGATGTTGGTTTTCACAGCACATGGCAGAGGTTTCAGGGGAGAGAGCTGGAATCCATTTTTAGGATTCTGACAATGTCATGCCCTTTCACTTTGACGTACTACATCATTTATTGTGTACTTGAAAAACAGAAGTTTCTGCTCAAATGTATGCATAGTAATTTTATTGTCATTAAGCTATTATGTTCAGTCTTGAAACCTGACTGGAGGGTTCATTTGTGGGAGGAGAACTGACAAGTCTGACTTCTGCAGATGGGTAAAGAAGAAGAGGGAACGAGTGATTGTAATACCAAGAACTGAATCTAATGTGCCCAACTGCCACATTGCTTAGTACAAATTACATTTGATACTTTATATTCATTGGCTCAATCAGTATAAACTGTATAAAGAGTTTTAAGGTTTTATACAGAAAAGTCACTGCTACTAGATGGCGCACTAGAGCACAGCATCTCAGACCAAAACAAATGGGCATTACAGCCCACCAGACTCCATTGACAAAACCAGTACTTTTACCTTACAAATAATTGTAAAATACACTTCAAATCGTCTTTATTGATCTTTCCACAATCTTTCCAACAATCAGTAATTTTGATTTGGTCAAAATAAATTGTTTTATAAAAATAAACCACAGATTTTGAAACAGCTATTATATCGCTCACCACGAGACTCCATTGACAAAACCAGTACTTTTACCAAAACAGATAATTATAAAATACACTTCAAAAAGAAACAGAAACCAAATAAATCTCACCAAAACCGTCTTTATTGATCTTTCCACAATCTTTCCAACAATCAATAATTTTGATTTGGTCAAGAACCGTTTTATAAAAATAAACCACAGATTTGAAAAAAGCTATTATATCGCTCACTACCAGACTCCATTGACAAAAACAGTAATTTTACTTTGTGGATCATTATAACATTGTAACTTCATTCAAATTAGATAAAACAGCCTTTGTTGGTCTTTCCACTGTTACGACAATCACCAGCTCTGGTTTGGATGAAATAAATCCCTAAATTATCAAGTTAGATGTGAGAAGAAACTTCCGTTTCAGGCCATCTCAGCTATATAAGCACAACACAGACCAGCTCATCGACCAACAGAGGGGGAGATCATTCTTTGCTCAGGATGCCATTACTCCACTATATATTTACACAGCAAATAGCTGGTTTGCTGTGCTATATTTATGTTCTAAATCTTGTGTATATATAGAGAGTTTCTCATAATCTGCGTCATTATGGTGTCTAATGTTCTTATGATAGACATACCTACGTCTGCATCCATGTCAGTGGCTCTTTGAGGCTGCGGGTCTGACCTGCAATGGCAATGACTTACAATGACAATGCCAACATGCTGATGTTTAATGGTTACAATGCATAATAATGCGCTGCAAACTTGCTAATTAGCACAAAATACAAAGCTGATGGGAATGTAATTGGTTTTGTGGACAGGCTCTTTGGTCATATGCCAAAATACTAGACAAATTTAATAAAAAATTTGACCTCATGTTGTGCCCGTTAGCTCACCTGCTGGAGTGTGCACCTCGTCTACTGAGTCATTTCAGCAGCTCTGGTCGATTCCAGCCTTTGGCCCTTTGTTGCATCTCACCCCTCTCTCTCTCTACACTTTGCTGTCACTCTACTCGACCAAGTAAGGGTAATAATAATCCCCAAAATTATTTTATAAAAACTAATTTGACCTCAAGATGGCACTAAAGAAGAAGTCAGGGGTTCACCAAAGTCATTTTAAATAATCGTAAAGGGGACATGAATGTCTGTAACAAATAGTAGATAAGATATTTTACAAAACCCCCAAAATGTCAACAGCATGGTGAAGTAAAAGTCAGTAGGATTCATCCTCTGGGAACCATGAATGTCTTTGCAACATTTAATGGCAATCCATCCTTGAGATGTTTCAGTCTGGACCAAAGTGGTGGACCGACCAACAGAGACACAAACTGACATTGCAGCCCCTAAGAGCCATCCCACTAGCATGGCTAAAAATAGAACAAAGGGCGTGTTTTAATGACAATGCTCTCTTGAACCTAATCTCACAGTAACAGAAATAGAAAAAAGTCCTCACACATATTATCTCTCCTAGGCTTTATTCCTCCTCAGCCACAGGATCCATTTCCTTCACTCTGTGCTTCTCTCAGAACAACAGTATCACTTCTACATGAGCAGATCCTTTGACCTATGAGAGCGATTGCTTTGCAAGTGAATAATTTTTCTGTGTGTCTCTGTGCTTTCTCTCTTTTTTTGTCTCAGATGCATGTTTTCAGAGGGCTGGGGATGGACAGTTTAATGCTGGGGGCTGGTGACACTGAAGTCCTGGTGAGATGTCCTTGAGTGGCAACACGAGCCAGTCTTCTCCGTCAACGACAGCTCTGCCTCTGTCCCTCAACAGCTCCACCATTCCACGTTCCCTACCATGGGAGGAGGGAAGAACCAGTCATGAGTCTGTGCAGGAGTGGCTGGGGAATAAGACCCAGCTCCTCTCAGACCTCTCTGTTCTCGGGCATGATGAGCAGTGCCCTATGTCTGCTGTCCTCACGGCATGTCTTGTAGTGTGGTACAGCCTTACAATGGTGCTGGGGATGCTGGGGAACATCGGCCTCATTTCCATCATCACCCGTCGCAGAGAAAAAGTCAACGTTACCAGCATTTTCATCTGCAACCTGTCATTCTCTGACATTCTGGTGTGTGTCTTTTGCCTCCCCTTCACCGTCATATACACGCTAATGGACCATTGGGTGTTTGGGTCTCTGTTATGTCGTCTGGTGCCGTTCATCCAGTGTGTGTCTGTGACCGTGTCTGTGCTCTCGCTGGTTTTCATCGCTCTGGAAAGGCATCAGCTCATCATTAACCCCTCTGGATGGAAACCAAGTATTCCCCAGGCCTATATTGCGCTTGTTCTCATTTGGATTATTGCCTGTTTCACATCCTCACCTTTCTTGGCCTTTCAGCTCCTCACAAATGAGCCCTATGTAATACCAATCCCGCCGGAGTCTCAGCTCCATCAGCAAGCATCTCCTCAGGCCTATCTCAATGCATCTCCACCTCAATCGGTCTCCTACACATTCAAAAACTCATCTGGTCTTCCAAATTCATACCGTACCCTCTTTTCTTACATCCCCGCCTCTCCACATATGGAGGCCTGTCTGGAGCACTGGCCATCCCAGCATCACAGGCTTGCTTACACCACATGGCTCCTGCTCTTTCAGTACTGTGGTCCACTGCTGTTGGTCCTGCTCTGTTACATTAGAGTTTTTGTGCGTCTTCGCCACCGCAAAGACATGCTGGACCGCGCCAGGACCCCAGAAAGCCAGCGCATGACCCACAGCCGTCGAATCAACATCATGCTCGTTGCCCTCATAACAGCCTTTGCTCTTTGCTGGCTTCCGCTCACCATCTTCAATGTGGTGTCAGACTGGAACCAGGAGGCTCTCCCCATCTGCCACCACAACCTGCTGTTCTCCCTCTGCCACCTGCTGGCCATGTCCTCCACCTGCATCAACCCCATCATCTACGGCTTCCTCAACTCCAACTTTCGGCAGGAGGTGAGAGAGGTGCTCCTGCACTGCCGCTGTAGCCCGCTAGAAGAAGAGTGTGAGCGTTTCCCCATGTCCACCGTGCACATGGAAATGTCCCGCACCTCTGTGCCTGTCAACTGCAAGAGCAACTCTGTTTGACTTTGATGTTACAGTTAAGGATGTAGTCACATAAACTGTACAGGTGTAGGACTTACTTCTGTTTGTTCTACCTTTAATGACAGTTTTGACAGTGGTTTAAAGTGCAACATTTTTGTCAGTATTTAGAAGTGAAGTGTGCAGTATAATGTTGGTTTATCTTTTTATGAAGTAGCGTTTTATGAAGAGTGTGTTGATGTGAAAAACTCAAAAGAAAAGTGCCATTTTAAACTACTCTGTTGCTGTGTCCTAATTGTATATAGTATGTACTATAATCTATTCATGACAGTATACAGCTTTCTTTTCAGTAGGTATACAAAAAATCAACATATTTTACCATTTTATATATACAAGAAATTATCAAATGTGTGCCCTATTGGATGTCAATTATACAGACTAATGTGAATTTAACTTATAATATTTTATACAAAGTATGTTGGAACTGTACTCTCGATGCAAGCTGCATATTGTGATACTATCAATATACAGAAGGGGAAGTTCAGGGAAAACCTGAATAAACAAAAGGAGAAACCAAACAAATGAAGAAACAGGGCACGAGGGGTCACTGAATAAACTTTTTTACATTCAGACTACCACAGATTTTACTAATAACATTAACAAAGGCTCCAATTTAATCAAGTTTCCCAGCACGACAGTGTGACATTGAGCCAGTGTGCACAATAATCCAGGCAGCAGTTACGTTTGTCACCATAATGTAATATGAAAACAATTTAGTATTATACAGACTCAATTTCTAAGAGGCAGGGTTGTACCAAGAGCCTGACACTGAAGAAGTTAAATTAAATTCAGCCACCATTACTGTTACACCAACTTTTCCTACTGTGACATGTTAAAATCATATGAAAAAGGTCTATTGTTTGATTAAGTATAAAACAAATGTGACTGTACTGTGGCCCTCATAGTCACCAGACCTCAATCTGAACAGCTGGTAGATTTTGGTTACACAGCGCTCCCCACCACAATCATCCAAACACCAAATGAGGGAATGAATCCACAGTTTCAGAGACTTGGAGAAAGGAGCGCTGCAGCTGTTCTTAAGACTTCTCGTGGGCCAACAAACTGCTAAGAGACTTTTTTTTACATGTTAGATTTTCATTTGATTTGTAATGGTACTCTATATTGTACTGCAAAGTAACACAGATGCAATTTGTGACGCACATGTTAAGAATGATTTCTTTCATGAATATAGTGCTGCTGTTGTATTTCTTAAATTTTTACATGAATTCTTTTGTATTTATGGCATGTGTGCTGTGACATCAGTGTGTGAGCTTCTACAGTGGAAAAAAAACATGAAGTATAGTTTGTTTTGTGATTAATGTGACTTATAGAGATAACGGCTCATAACATTGTTAAATTTGAAAACAGCTTTGGACAAGTTCAATAAATATAGAAAGAACCATCAACCAATCAAATGTGTTACCACATGGTTTTAATGGTTATTCATGAGTACATTAACATGTGTTAGTACTATTTTGGTGCAGGGAAGGGTGTATGGAGATGTTCTCACATATCTTTCATGACACTTTAGACCTGTATACATAGATTAAATACCAGTATCGTCTTAATACAAATGCTTGTTTATAGCTGTACATGTACGTGTGAGACTGTATGCCAATGCAGGTAATTTATATGCGCCTGGTCTGGTTTAATAATCACAGTAGTTGGACAACCATATGCTGTATATAGAAAAAAAGAATTTCTAAACTACTACCTCAAATGCCTTTTCTTTTCTCTGTATTAAACAATATAAGATACTTTTTCTCTCTTTGCTGCATGGGGATAAACACAATGAGGCAAATTAAAATGAATGACTGCTTTCTAAGATTAGATTGAGTTTGTCTCCTAAAACCACAGCTATCCATTCTGTAAAGACAGCCGAAGAGCCTATTGCATATTGAATATGGTTTGAGTAATCTGTGTCTGCAAAAACAATGAGATGTCTAGAGTCTTAAAAATCTGTAGTTTTGAAAGCAAGAATTGCATCTGAACACACACAAAAAATAAAGGTCACCTTAAACTGTCTGCATGATAATATATTCAACAAATCCAACCTCAAACGGGACAGTCATGTCTGGTTGAACATGAAAAATAGGCTTTCGTCCTAAGAGCCTTTGATTAATCTAGCTAAGTCTCTGAGCAGACTTGAGGAAACTTGTGAGTTGTGGCCAGAATCCAAACTTTTATTTATTACATTAGTAGGTTTATAGTAACAGAAATAGAAACGTTTTTAAGAAACATTTCCACCACGTCTGAGAGTAAATCAACTCATTTTAACAGAGTAATGTGCTTTCCTATCAAGAAACAAAGACAAAAAGTTGCAATAATATTTACAATATAATATATAATAGCTTAATTTGCTCAGTGAAAGGAAAAGTCGAGGTTTAAAATAGACTTGTCATGGCCCTGCTCATGTGACGTTTATACCTGTCAGCCAATCACAGCCCGGCATCCCAGAATGCATTGCATCACAAACTGCACGCGCGAACCATGTACACACCGTAGTCAGGGTTATCGATGGAAACTGATAGATAAGTGATCGATATTAAACCTCACCGCCGCAGAAAGTAAGTGCACGGAAAAGTACTAAGACTGGCAGTGGTTGAGACACGTGTAATGTGTGTGTGTGTGTGTGTGGTGTGTGTGTGTGTGTGTTGTTGGGTGTGTGTGTGTGTGTGTGTGTGTGTGTGGTTAGCCTCAGCAGCTAAGAGTCCACAGGTTTGTTAGCTCGCTCGATAATTCACCAACAAAACTTAACAAAAGACGATTTAACGGTGAAATAACATCAACATCGATGTTATTCGCGTTTTAAGTCGGTAGAGATTTAATGCTGTCAGTGGAGATGAACTGGAGTTTGATCCAAAAGTGTGTGTGGGTCGTTACACAGATACTAATGTTATCTATAAAGTGTTTGTTTTAGGGTTTAGTTAGTTAATGCTGACACTAATGTTGATTTGGATTTAAAGTGTATCACAATAAAGACGTAATGTGTTGAGGAACTGGAGGTCGAGGACGGGAAAGTGTCAGATTTCACCACTGTGGCATTAACTTACAGGGTCTGTGTGTCCAAACTGGTTTTTATGTGGATTTTCATGTAAGTTATTGTTTTTTCTGACTGAAATGATTAAAGCAAAGACACAGTCGCTTCCACTTGATACGCTGCCTGTTTGCTCCATCTCATATCTTTATGATATTATAACAAATATGCAATTTTACTATTTTCCTCCTGACGGTCGGACAGCAGTGTTAGGACGTCGCTGTGGTAACTTATGTTGTATTGTCGTTACTTTCTACACTTGTTAGACTAATTCTTTATTTAGTTAATCCAAAATCAAAGCTCTTGATCACTGATTGGCTGTCATTCGGTGTTTATTTCTGATTTGTGGGCTCACAGTGAAAGTAAAGTTCCTGCGTATTGCGAAAGCTGGTCTCAGAAAATGTCTTCTTTGGTTTTGTGTAGGTGAATCTCGGAGCTAAAGAGGCCAGTAATGACCACAACCAACAGCGGGTCAGTTCTTAAAGGTATTGTACATCGCCTTGGTTTTACTGCGGTTCATTGAAATAAACTTTGTGGCCTTTGGTTCGAGTTAATGACTGTGTTCAATGTGTCTGCAGATGTCGTTGCCTATGTTGATGTGTGGTCTTCAGACAAAACGGCAAACTATTCAAAACCATTCGTTCAGCAGCTGCAAGAAATGGGAGCTCAGGTGAGACCACAGGACAAATAAACACATCTGCACTACATTGTATACCATTTACTGCATTTACAGTAGACCTGTAACGTTACATCACTTAGGAAACGCATCAGCAATACTATTTTAATAAAAGGTAAAGCTCTGCAGCCATTGTTTGCTTTGATGGTGTGACACCTACTTACCATCTTTGTTTGTGTATACTTTGCGAAACCTAAATGTCTTTTCTTTTCCAGGTATCAAAAACATTCAATAAACAAGTCACACATGTGGTCTTCAACAATGGTCACCCAGCTACATGGACGAAAGCCAAGAAAAGTGGTGATGTGAGGCTCGTCTCTGTGCTCTGGGTAGGCAGGTGAGAATAACGCTGAGAGTTCAACAATAGTGTGATATTTCACAAGGTGTTTTGATGGTGTTGTTGAGACGTTTCACAGGATGTTGTCGTCTTTTCCATCGTCTCTTAATGTGGCTTATTTTCTGTGAAATAATTTCCAGATGCTATGACGACGGCGTCCGTGTGGATGAGGAGTTATATCCAGCTATAGATGAAACCAACCCAGTGTTAAAGAACAAGAAAGTGAGTAGAGTCAGATTTACACGTAATGTTTACGTTGGTGTTGCAGTTTAAGCTGTAATTGTAAATAAGTGTTGGACCTTTAGGCTGATTTTGGGTCACTGACCAAGCTCTGTTCTTCACCTGATCAGAATCTGTAAACAAGGTGTCCTATTATAAATGTTCTTAAATACAAAAGCCAGGCCTTCAAGTTTATTATGTTGTATTATATTTGAAATATGAGCTTTGGATTTCAGCATAAACATCATGTGGCAGTAAAACAGAAGCTTCGATCTACACTGATCAGCCATAACATTATGAGCACTGACAGGTGAACTGAATAACATTGATGATCTCATTATCACAGCACACTCAGTGGGCGGGATATATTAGGCAGCTAGTGAACTTTTGATAATGAAGTTAATGTGTTAGAAGCAGGAAAAAAGGGCAGCGTGAGGATTTGAGCGACTTTGACAAGGGCCACATTGTGATGGACGACTGGGTCAGAAC